CAAAGGATTATCGCCCCTTATAACTCCTAGTAATTTCCTGATACAAATAATATCTCAAAGGATTCATACCCCTTATGGCTCTTAACAAATATAATTTACTTATATATGCACATATATCATCACATTATAACAATTAAAGAGTAATTAAGCATGTATCAAAATTTCATAATGTTGTATAATTGTAGATAATAGAAAACTCAACTAGGCAAAAATGCATATTTCTAGAAAATTATCAAATTATTAGGGGTCATATAAAATAATATTTTAAGACTTTTATTATATTACATCATTATTTTTTAACATCATGATAATTTTCTATTCAATAAAAATCTTACAAATTTTAATACCCCTGTCATAAAATTTTTAGAAAATATTCAAAATATGCATAATCATAATCTCTACAACATACAAAAAATTACGCAGTGAAAGCTTTACATGTGCAAAGTTATCCACATTTTTTGCTAACATATACAAAATTTTAATAATTTTTTTTCTAAAAATAGTACAAAAATTGAGATAGGCATAATGTGCCTTTCCCTGAGATGAACAAGTTTCATAGCTGAATGACCGATAAACAGGCTCGAAGTCACAAAAAATTTGATTTTGATTTTCTCTCTCCTCTCTTTTTTCCCTAATTCTCTTGAGCTTTCTCTAGTTGGTGGAAAACGAATTAAGGAGAAGAAAATGGCATTTAATAAAGCCATAATGACATTAGATATTTTCTTTTTAAATATTATTTAATATATAAAAATATTCTTATAATTAATTTTTAGTAGAAAATTCATAAAAAAAATATATTAGGGATTCAATAAATTATAGAAAAATATTCATAAATCGTCTAATTTTATTTAGAAATTTTTGGTGAAATCGATTTGCATAAAGGACACATGACGGTCCCAAAAATCTCACATGTATCAACATGTGCCAATTTATTAAGAAAATTCAACAGTACTAAACAATTATGAAAAAATAGAGAAGCTAAAACATAACATTATAAATGTTTTGGAGAAGGTGATTTGTGATTTGGACTTAAGATGACTCCTAAAATATATATTAACTATTCTAAGTCAAAATTTCTTATAAGAAAATTTAGGGATTTCACATAATGAGCTCAAGAGCCTAGCAAGTAATCAAATCCTATAACTGAACTCATAACATGGCAAAGAAGCGATATACATGTCAGCCGTCCAATCATAATAGTAACATTTATATGATCATGAATAATAGTAGAATCTGTAAATAGTAAAACAGTTCAATACGAAATCCAGTAAAGCAGTACAGTGGGAAACTAATAAACATGTATGGGTGTCGAATCAATAAAATAGTTATCATATCAGTACTATTAAATGGTAAATAAATTATATAAATTAATAAAATCAAAGCATCAGTAAAGATTGTCAATGTAATAAAATCCTATAGTGATGTACATATGATATTAAATTATTTTAAAATAGTATCAAATCAGTATCTTAATAACATACTTCATATATCATGTGCTTAGCATATTGCATACTCAATATTAGTATAGTGAGTTAATAATAGTAATAGTAACAGTGATTCGGTAGTAGTATCAAACAGTATTGATATCCATATATATTAGTAACAGTATTAGTACAGTGCTATTAGTAAAATTTGTCATAGTAATAACAAAGCAATTTAGTTATAGTAAATATATACATTAATAGAAAATTAATATGGTATCAGTAAAGCCATATAGTAGTAATGTATCTATAACATATATTTCGGTAATCACACTTGAACAAGTAAGAAGTCCTGACTATCACGGTATTTTCAATAATCAATAATTAATAATAAATAATCATTGGCTCAGTAAATAGAGTCGTCGCTTTTTATCCGTCGATGGAGTAATAACTCCTTATGACTCTTAATTATTGTATCATTATATCACATGAACCACTAGAAGATAACAACCAATCATAATATTTAAAAGCCTGTCAGCCCACTATCATGTACAGGTCAATTAATCTTCAACTCACGAGCCAACCAATCTTTATTTGTCTCTTACACACATTATAATAAAAGTAATACCAATCAATTATTTCCTAATCATATATACATTTTCATTTTCAATAGTTGTATTAACAATATCCTTAAATAAAAATACCCCATTTATCTACAATATAAATAATAAAAAATTCAATAACTTATATTTTACCTTATGAAATTTGTAAATATTGCAATCAAAATATTCAGGATAATCAGTATGATAACATATAAAAAGTTGTTCAGTAAAAGTTTAATAAAGTAAAAAAAATACAGTAAAATCAACTTTGAGGGGAAGTCAGAGGTTAAAATCAAATCTTTAAAAATAACGATAAGATTAGAATCACTTATAGTGACTTGAGAAATTTTTTGCAAAAGAGGCAAATCAATCTAGACACTAAAAATCAGCTTTCTTTCTTTCTCTCTACTTCGCTATAATTTTAACATGAATTCATAATTTACCATTTTTTATTATTTTTCAAAAATTTAGATTCGGGCACAAAATTGATATAAAATAAATTTGTATCAACATAAATCAAATAAAAAATTAAATCAAAACTTGTTAAATCAGTAATCAATACTTATGACACTGTCATACAGTTTATCTAATCACATGTCATTAACTCATGCAATCAATTATATATGTAAAAGAATGCACTTTGATCTACCCCACCCATAATTAATTCTTATAACTTTGGTAATAATCAATTCTTTCAATAATATTTTCATGGTACTAATTATCATGTCTAGAATAGAATTTGAAAGAATTATTATTTTATCTTTTAATTTACATAACTAAAGTTGCTTAATTTTTTTATCAATATAAATACCAACATGAATAAAATTATCAATCAAAATATCGATATATACATCTTTATTCATTTCCATTTCCCAAAAAATTAGGTGCAATACTCAGGATCTATACAATTATAATATATCTATATGGTGCTAAGCACAAATGAATAACTAAAATAACAAGAACCTGAACCTGAACCTGAAAGACCCTGGTCAATCTCATATTGCTCCCTTACCCTAACATGAAATTATTTAAACATATATAACGAGCTTAAGAGCCCAGCAAGTAACCAAATCCTACAACAAAACTCAAAGCATGACAAATGAGCAATATGAGCAATTTTTACAAAAGCAACAAAGTGATCCGGCAGCTAGAAATCGACTTTCTCCCTTTCTCTCTGTTGCGTTGCAATTCAAACAGGAATTTAGATTTTTTTTTTCTATTTCAATTATTTTTAGAAATTCGGATTGTTACACAAGCCAAGTACACAAGCCAAGCATGTTTTTCTAACTTTGATCTTAGTTCAATTTGTGCCAAAAATTAATATAATATTGATTCATTTTGTGTCCTAATATAATTCTTAGTGCAACATACATACATAATTTTAATACAAACATATATGTGCATATATATCATTATAGGAGAAATGACTTTTTGATAATAAAAAAAGGGAGATTTACATACATACCACCTAATACTATTCTGTTTACATATTTAACATCTAAAACTATAATATTACATACATACCACCCATAATTCATTTTCATATCAAATATGAGTGGTAGAAATGAAATATATGAGTGGTAGGAAAGAAATATAAGTGGTATATTTGATATTAAAATAATATATGGTGGTATGCATGTAATATTAAAATTTTAGATGTTAGATATGTAAATAGGATGTTATAAAGTGGTATGTATGTAAATTTCCTTAAAAAAAAAAAAAATCTGTTGTAAACCTTCTTGCAATAATCAATTTGCGACAAAAAAACTTGTCACAAACTTTTTGACAATTTAAATTTCGTCACAAAAAATTATTGACACGAAGATGTGGTGTAAAGATGTAAAACAAATAATTCGATCATATTTTTCAATAGCATCTTTTTGCGTTGAAAAATTGTGATCCACCCTAAATATTGTTATGCGGTATTTGGTTCATGTGATTAAGATATGATCTATAATAGTCATCAAGTTATTAAAAAATTATTCGATCATATTTATCAATTGAAAAAAGATGTCATCAAGTTATTAAAAAATTGTGATCGACCCTAACTACTAGTCGCAAATTAACAATATACATTATTTCAAATCTAATTAAAGCACGTGAAAACACAACAACAACAACAATAATAACATCAAGCCTTTGTCCCATTACGTGGGACCGGTTACATGAATCTTTTTTATCCATTGTACTCTGTTAAAATTCAAATTCTCATTTAAATTTAATAAAGAAATATCATTTCTAATAAAACATGTGATAACACGAGTAAATAAAATTACTACAAACATATATAAACTTTCGATCCAATCCCAATGTAGTTTGATTTGATTTAAATTTAGCACAATTCATGTAAAAATTGAGTCGAGCTTGGCTTATGTGATTTTCTACTTCAAATCTAGTTATGTTATAAATTATAACAACCTAATGCATGCACTACAAAAATATTATATAATTTTGTCCAACTCAATCTACATTAAGCTAAATTTTACAATTTTATCATTCTGATCTAGTGAAAGATAAGATTAAAGAGAGTCGCCTTAGATGGTTTGGTCACATAAAACGACGTCATTTCGATGACCTGATTAGAAAAGTAGAGATATTATATTTGACTTACATTAAGAAAGATAGATGAAGACCTAAAAAAAACTTGATTAGAAAATATTAGAAAATGATCTTTCTTTATTAGATTTAAATAAAAATTTGACTTTTAACAGGAGAGTGGAGAAAAAAGATTTATGCAACCAACCTCACGTAGTGAGACAAAAGCTTATTGTTATTGTTATATCATTCATAATATAACTTCTCAAGAGATCACTCGTAATACCAATCATACAAAGACACTAAATAAACGAGCTATCATATGGGGGCAAATTGTTATTTTTTCCATAGGCAATTTCTTTACAAGAAATAAAAGATCATTTTTCAACAAGCAGAAACAAAAAATTTACATAATTTCTTCACAACTTGACAAACAAAGAAGTGGATAAAAACCAATTTTTATTCAAAACCATTACCGTTTATATTCTCACATCCTTTCCATTTCTACAAACAAGCTCTGAACTACATCAAGAAACTTTCATTCTTAATATGCCATAGCAAACTGTCATTAAGGACTCAGAGCCTGCTGCATTGAACACGAGGAAAATTTATATATAATCCAAAACCAAAGGATCAAAAACGTAAGAAAATCTGCTTATCCTGTGGCTAACATCCTCTCAGTAACTGATAATAAATAAAAAGACTAAGGTTACGTTTGGGACGGCTTTCTTATTGCTTCTTAAGCAGCTTTCTAGTTCAAAATTTTTTAATTTTGTACTAGAAAGCTACTTTAAAAAACAGTAACTCGTCCCAAACGAAACCTAAATATCATGATATTGTAAAAGAAAATCAGTATATATGTATAATAACATTTGATACTGGAAAGCAGATTGCCATAGCTCAGCTGGAGATTTCTTCAGATTTTTTGGGCTTTGATAGCAAGTACCAGCCTAGTGCAGATAAACCAGTAATGGTCCCAGCAAGCACGGCATAGTTTCGATTTCGGTCGGTAGAGATGCGAGCTGTTGAAGAGCTTGGTGGAGACTGAGCAGGCTTCACATCGGCAGCAGCTGGGGATTCTGGACCTGGTTGATCTGCTGGTTTGAATCCCTGCAAAATGAACATTATCAGGTGTTGGGGGACATAAATATGCTTGGGAGCAACTTCCCTTCAAGTAAATGACAAAGATGAGGACTCTTAGATTTTAATGCATATCACAAAATTTTTATGTCTTTATATATCTAACACCTAAATTTTAATATTTATTTATACAACAACAACATCAAGCCTTTATACCACTATGTGGGGTCAGCTACATAAATCCTTTTTCTCCTTTGTGTCCTATTAAAAATCAAATTCTCATTTAAATCTAATAAAGAAAGATCAGTTCTAATATTTTCTAATCAAGTCTTTTTAAGTCTACATCTAACTTTCTCAATATAAATCAAATCTAATACCTCAGGTCGAAACTTTTAACCTTTATTATAGAAGAAAAATGCAACAAACTATTAAGCTTAATAAAAATATGATGGGCCAGCTGATTTACTTGGGAAAAAATTAAGAAAGTTTATTTAGAGAAGAAGGGCTGATTTGATTTCAGATTCGGAAGGGAATTAGGAAGATTTGCTTAGGGAAAAATGGCTGATTTAAATTCAGATTTGGGAGGGAATTATTTAGGAAAAGATGGCTGATTTAAATTCAGATTTGGGAGGGAATTAGGGAGTCTTATTTAAGACTAACAATAGAATGATTTAAAGACAAAAGGTAGCTAGCAACAATGATTGGAGAAGGAAAGTGAGGTCCTTGGCTGGGAGTTCTCCCTGCATTTGGAATTTGCCCAATTTTGATGAATTCCAAATTCATTAAAGAAAAACCTTCTGGGGTATTTGAAATCCTCTATACAATTGCATTTAGTACATTTCAAACCAAACACCAAAAAAATAAGAACCTTTTTTTTTTTTACACTCATAATATATCTATTTACTTTGGATGAATTTTATTGGTTGTAAAATAAATACAACGAAATATTTGATCGTGTTTTACTTAAATGTGAAAAAAACACATTGACTGTCATTGTTTTCCATTTGATTGAATCCGTTGTGTTATGGAGCTTCATGTGCAAAAAAATTGGTGGAAGGTTTCCACTTAGAAGCACAAATATGGCAAGATGGAAAAGGATGCAGCAACTGATGTAGATCTCTAAGTTTATAGTTGTCAGAAATGCAAAATATGTATTAATGCAAACAAACTGAGAAGCAAAGAGATGATACTAGTTCAGTAGTTCATTGTTTTTCAGCAATTTCATTTTTAATATTTATCTTCTATTAATATTGAAAAGCATGCCTAAAATGTTTCTTATAAGAATATATTGGATTCTATAATTTTCATTTTTTTTAACTTCCTATATTGGGATGACATGGCTTTCTATCAATTTGATTCTCTATTTCCTTCCTCCCAAATCATGATTTTTTTTCCAACTATGTTTGGCCCAAACATGCGATCAACAATACCTGCAGCATCTCTATTTCCTTCCCATTCCATGGGCATTTTATTATGAATTTTTTTTTCATAATGCTATAATGACTTCTATTCTTTTCTCTTTTTTTATTGTAAATCTAAGAGAATTTGTAACTTTCAATGCACTTAACTTGATCAAAATCCATATATATTTTGTCTCTTTACTTTGGTAATGCATTATATCTCATTTTCTCCTTTCTCAGCAACAAGCCAATTCATAAGTCATTCGAAGCTATAGCTTGTGATTTACTCACTACCCTCTTTGCAAAACTTAACTTTCTTATAATCATTATAAACCTCAATATACTTCAAGTTTTGCCATATTTTAAAAGAATATTTCTTTTTTTCTAGAAAAGACACTTCATACACCTCACTCTACCACCGACTCTCCTTATTGGATGATCCATTTCAAGAATCTATAAAAGATTCTATAGCAATCCTTTTAATAGAACGAATTATCCTATCACACATCATATTTGGCTCAATTAAATAATTCTAATTTCTCTTAACAAGCTAACATTGAAAGATTAATAATTTCTCATCTTTAAAATTTATCATCTTATCCTAGAGCCATTAAATATTATGATTACTTTCTATAAATTCTTAATAGATAAATTCATAAATATTATCATATGTTGTGCAGTGGACCTGTTGTGTGATAGAAAAGTATCCCTCAAACTTAAGAGAAAATTCTATAAAATGGTTGTGAGACCTACAATACTTTATGGCGTTGAATGTTGGTCATTCAAAGTGAAGCATAAAATTAAGTATTGTAGAGATGAGGATGCTCAGGTGCATGAGTGGATTTACACTTAGAGATAAAATACTAAATGAGTATATATATAAAAAGAATGGAGTAGCGTTAGAAAGAGTCTCCTAAGATGATTTGGTCACATAAAATGTCGACCTTCGATGATCCGATTAGAAGAGTAGATGCATTAGATCTGGCCTATGTTAAGGTATAGGTAGGCCTAAAAACACTTATTTAGAAAGTATTAAAAATGATATTTTTTATTAGATTTAAATGAGAATTTGACTCTTAATAGAATACAATGGAGAAGAATGATTTATATAGCCGACCCCACATAGTGTGATGAAGGCTTCATGTAGTTGTTATTGTTGTTGTATTATATGTTGTGTAGTCAAGATTTCTCCAAGAATCACTTTACAATCTTCGCAAGAATTTTTTTTTCCCTGCATAAGAAAGAAAAACCTATTTGTCATTCAATCACTTTCCTTTTGTAAGTAATCAAACATTTTTCTCATTTATTAAAGTATGTATTCATTATTGCAAAATTATAGGTTACTAAGCAATTAATATGTGCTTCTCTCATTGCATTTCTATCTCTTACCACTATGAATCATCTTTATACTATACTCTACTAGAAGCTATATGCCTATTTAAATCGACTTCAATTGCTATATTTTCTTCAAAAAAACATACATTATAATATTTTCATCAAAATCTTCTTAAATCTCTTTTTTTAAATATATTATAATCCAACTTGAGGAGCATAAGTGCTAAACACATTCATATTTTTATTACTAATAATTAACTTACTAGCAATCACCTTATCACAAAAACCATATTATCCTTAATAATCATACCTTTCAATTCTATATCCACTATTATCCTAAAGCTCATTTCAATTAATAACTTTTCAAGCATGTAGTAACTTATAATATTCCCTAATTTTCTTGAATTTTTTTCTCTTTTTCATTTAGTTTCTTATAACGCAATATTAATTGTCCACCAATTACCTTGTATTCCCATTCAAAATTAACAAATTCCCAAGTGGCAAATCAAATCATAAATTTAGACACCCTTGTTTCACCCCAATACTAGCCCATACGTGCCTACTTCTCACTAAAATCAAGTTAAGACATGATCCGTTGTTTATCAAATGTCCTAGCACTTGCAAAATTAAAATGGGATTCATTTCATAAATTTTTTCCCAAGTTTTAAGCTGGCTGTCAACCTAAAATCAATCCATAAAACATTCCCATTTGAGCAAGGGATTGACAACAACAGTAATAAAAAATGCCACAAAAAGATAATAATAATATTATTATAACAATGATAGTAATAATAATAAAATTTTCACGAAAAAAAAATGATAGTTACAAAAAATTACCAACCAATGAACATAGAGGGACCAACAACAAACAGAAGCAAATTCAAAGCAGCTGAAGTACTCAAATAAGCTCTAGCCTAACCACATCAAGGAGCCTAGTAATGCCTACAGCAAAAGGACAAATTATCTCCAACAATAAACAAACCAAATATTAGCAAAGAATGGGGTGGCGAGCTCCCATAAGGTTAAAACTCACAAAATGGTCTCTTTTTTTTTTTAAGTGCATCTTCCATATGGAGATTGCTGCAACTAGGCAATGCCATTAAAAACCATCCACCAACAAAGACTATAATTCTCATCTTGAAATTCTTGAAGTAGCTAACAGATCAAGAATAACAATAAAATTAGCTTAAGCACTGTAAGAGTTTCTTCCCAGAAAAACAAAATGCAAATGAATTCAAAGGTTCAAGCAATAGTGTAATTTGCCCAAGGAGCTACAACTTCCTCAAGAATAGTAAAGCAAATTCATAAAAACAGTAAACTCATAAATTCATGTGAGAATCGGAAATATTATGAATCAGGAATTATATTTACCATTTAGTGAAACTTGGAATCACCTACATGATCAATTTAAAAACTTTAAACAAACAAATTATAATGCGTTTGAATATTATTAAAAATTTAAACATCTTGTGCTTAAATATTATTTGCCTCTAGAAATTAGCAATGAATTAAAGCTATAATTCACCAAAAAAACCACGTGAACATACAAAGTTTTAGATAAGAACAACTATTATAATTATTATATATCTAGAACTGCTACACATGCTTAATATTTCCAAGAAAAAATCAATAAAATCTCATTAAAGCCTGTAAATCATCCACCAATACAAGAATCATGCATTGCCAATCTGATCTTATAAAAAAAACTATATTCACGAATATTCTTAGGATAAAATATTATATGCAGAAAAAAATTACAATTACAATATGATTATACATCCGCTGCCAAAATTTATACTAGACATTGTTCATGAACCAGAACCTAAAATTAAGTAAAAAATAAAAATGAAAGTTTCGATCTAAAATTAAATTTGAAAGCAAGATCATTTTTGAACCAAAATTTCAAATAAAAATGAAATATATTCCTAAACAAAAATGTATGGTGTAGTTGATAAATCGATTAAACTTTCAGATATTGTAAATCTAGATGAATTATCTATTGAAATAATCTTTACATCAACAAATCAAAGAGATATTGACTTTATTTTTATTCTTGATTTACAAATTAATAAAAAGAACTTCACAGAGATAGCTAAATTTCTACACTATTTCAAATGATTTATTAATGATAATTATCTTAAGTAAACTTAAATTTTAAAATTGTATCTTTTTGCTTGAAATAAAAAGTGCATAATTCTTCATGATTGACATTTGCACCAATTTGGTTATCTTTTTGAGGAAGAAGCTTGTCCATATAATAAATGCAACACGTATGATTTATTAATGATAATTTTAATCATCTCCTCCTCTTGATTTTAGCAATAATATATCCATTAGACAGCGTATAGGCATTTTAATATTTTTTTTTATGCGCATCATCCATTAGTCATACGCATGATTTATATGAATCTAATCATAGAAAACTTATCATTAATAATAAAAAATATATATTTATTGAAGACGTGGCATGGAGATGCATGGAATATAAATTAGGTAATAAAATAATAGTTATTCCAAACGTAAAAGATTTCTAAAGAGAATATTTAAAAAATCAAGAGCTAGAAAGATGGACCATACAAAATACTAAAATGAGTTCAGATGAATTCTTATAAGTTTGAAATCAAAAATAAATAAATAAAATCTGGTAGTAACCTAATTTTTAATATCTAATTTAACTTTATTTTATGAGCTATAAGCCAATGTCTTTAACGCTTCACTCTTTTCACATCCTCCTTCAAGATTCAAATCCAACACATCATCTACACATTTGCCAAACAAAAATATTGTGTGCCAAAAGCTATAATAATTGATGAAATAATATCGACTATTAATGATGGATAACAAATATACCTTCGGCATGGGTGCAGCTGGCCTAAAGGTGATGAATCATCTATAAGAAGCACAAAATGATTGCACATATCCACTTAACTAATATCAATTGAACAATTCAGCAGACCCAACTTTTTTCATACCGTGGTGAATTAATGCTAACATCAAAGAGCATAGTCATCAAAAACCGAAAATGTGTGTTGACACAAATTAATTGAAACTTCGAGAAATGATTTTATTTTATATTTATTTTCAATCTCGGTTTTTATCTTCATATTTTGGCAAACATGCCCATGATGCTCCTATTGGCTCAAAAAAAAAAACGGTGTGTAGGCATGAATCCCTCTTTGTAGACATAGGATTTCATTCTCCTTAAGTCAAATTATACTTAACCAGATTTCCTCTAAGTATTGTCAGAGTTTAGTTAAATCTTAGTCATTACTTTATATGAGCGCAAGCACTCATACTTAATTATCTCTCTTAACACGTAAGAGAGAACTTTCAATTAAGAATGAATAATTTAGGTGTTTTTAGTCTCAGTTGTGGGAAAATGGAGGTAAACTCGATCAAAATCTCATTGCTCCGTCGTCTCGGATATACCGTAGGTTTCAATCTACCAACAATAGCGATCGTTGATCAGTGTCATAGAATCTGATTAGCAGTCATGGGTTGCCTTCTCTAAGAAATCCCCAATAAACTGAAATGATTATAGGTGAGTTTGTAATTTTATGAAAGTTTGGGATTTACATCTGTTAGAATACTCAGTAGTTAATTAAATATGGGATTTATGAATTCATTTAGAAGTTACCTGATTGTTCAAATTAGTTTGGAGCTTACGACTTTCGTTGAAAGTAGCATAATGGTTTTAGAAGTGGGACTTACGGCTTTTATTAGAAGTAGCCCAAATAGCATGCCTTATAACTTCCTTTGGAAGGTGCCTGACTATTTTGGATAGGTTTTACAGCTTCTGGATTTCAGAAGTAGCTTGAAATTGGGTCTTACAACCTAACTCTATAAAAAGGTTGCTCTTAGTTTTGATTATTTGTGTTTTATGGTTGTTGCAAATTAATTTAGCCCTATAGACGAAGCTGCATAATATTTTAATTTAGTCGACAGGTCTTATGACTTCCTTAGAAGTTGTCTGTAGGTTTATTTTTTAGAATTTTAGGGTTTTAGAAATTTCCCTGAAATCACGAACCTAGTCCTTTAGCATAAACTGCTCGTAGATTTGTAGGATTTACTGCTTCCCTTTGGAAATAGCTTGATTATTTGTTTGTTTAGATAGGTTAGACAGTAGTTACTTTATTTCAATTCTATTTTTACACTAGTATTTGGTTTCAATACATGCTCTTCTTAACACTACGATAGTTTATTTCACAATACCTGCTTTTCTTTCTTATACTAGTACCCTATTTTACTTTCAATATCGTACTTTACTTTCCAATACCATGTTTTACCTTGAGTACTGTAGTTTACTTGACAGTACTAATTTTCTTGATTTTGTTTGCTCGAAGGAGTTCATGCTGCTTAGGAGCTTGCCCAGGAGCATTGAAGAGGTTTGAGGGTTTGTATAATAATGCAATCTAGATTTTATATTAGATCTAGGGGATTGAGATTTCCCATGCATGCAAATCTCCATCGTTAATTACATCTCAGATGATACTCAAGATTACTCTCATTTAAGGACGATATTGTGCTCTAGAGTGGTATTAGAAATTTGAGATCATGCATAAAGTTCGAGGATTGGGGAGGGGGAGTTAACCACAACTCAATATGAGATCTAGCAATCAATATTTGAATCAAATTGGGTCTAAAGACACCAGCATGGATTTAAGTGGTTCAGGGGTATTTTTATATAACCACTGGATTTTGTAATACATAGGGCCTGTTCGACTCATATCAAGAGTAAACTATAGGCATAAATTATGGCATGGCCAAATCAGTGAGTCTAATTTTAATTCCCAATACAATTTCAGACCTTAGGTTATACAAGTGAAATCATTTGAGTGTTATGAATATCTTCTAAGGCTATAGTTCATATAGGACATTTTAACCAAGACCATTCAAAAAGGCATATTACTTAGGCTAACACTGCATGGTAGAGAAAAATTATGTGCCTAAAAAAAAGCCCTCAAGTAGTAAATCTTGAATTGGCTCGACCCCAACATAATTGGCTCCAAGAAAAAAAATTAGCACATGGGTTTGTGATTTCGTTAATCCGACTGAGTGAGAATTTGGCGCTAAATTAAGAGCATACATCCTTATATTTGGCAGAGACAACCTACTATACTCAAAATTCATATATCTGAGACAACCTCAGCTGAAAAGAATGATTTCCATTGACGAAAACAAAACTTTTTTTTTTTTTTTTTTTTTTTTTATGAAAGCAAAACTTGCATCTTTATGTTTGATAAGGGTATCATCCATATTTGAGGGACTTGCGAGGATTTGAATGGCACCAATTTAAGGGCCAGGCTATAACTTTAATATAAGAGTAGTCCAAGAGCTGTAACTTACAACCTTAGGTTTGTAGGCAGTTATAATAATAAGTTCACAACCTTACCCTATTAGCAAGATGCTCATGGGTCCATTGCAAAAATTGGGCTTCAAGGTTGTGTGTTTGTATGCAGCACCGGCAAGGATTTGACCTGACCAGACAATAACGATAGGATATGTAACCCTAGATTTATAAGGACAACAGATGGGAGATTTAATCATTTTGGAACTACGATTAGAGTAGCAAGGCTTACAAAACTTCTTCTTAGACAAATTAATTAGACCAAGACTTACAACCCTAGGTATGAGGGACTTTCAGTGTAGATCATACCACTTAAAGATCAAATCTAAGAATGGGAGCTACAAACCTATCCTACAAATATGATGGGCAACAAATAGGAGCCTATAACCCTATATTGAATATGTCCTGAGAGGTCATAAAGGCTGACTACATTAAATTTGGCTTTATTTTAACTAATTTGACACGGTTTGAAATAATTGGATTGGATTGTGAGAGATACAAATACAAGTTATGTTGTGTACTAGTCAACCTACCAAAGCCCACACAAGAGTTCTAGAGCTTGGGATACACCGTGCTAGTCAATGTGCCACACATCTAACTTTCATGACCTGTGAAAACTCCTACTGGGATTAAAATTATTTGTTATTTTGAAAGTGAATAACTCTCTCCTTTTGCTACTCTTTCGAGATACCATATGGGCAAGCTTAATTTTAAATTTGAAAGTCCAATGCATTTGCAAAATTGACCGAGTTGGCAAGGCAATTTTGAAAAGCCACATTTAGTATTTTTTATATGAACTTGGCCCAATCATGGTTGCAACCAATGATTGGATAATTGGCTTAAGGCACTCACATTGAACCATGCCCCAAACTCATATTCATCTCTATAAAATGAAGTTGACTCTCCAAAGAAGTAGAACTTAATCCGCAGGCCATCAAGAAGCAATGCCAACTATTTGATAGAAAATAAACTCTACCCCTATGTAACACCTCCATCAACCAATCTACGCTGCAAATCTAAATTGAATGGCTACATGCCTTCCCTTACCTCTCATTACACCATCTCTCCTGATACACTATTACAGCTCTTTAAGGCAACCTAGCCCACACTAGATAATCCTGATACAAATGTTCAATGAACAAGGATGCTGGACACCAAGCTAGTACTCCAACAGAGTCAAAAAAGCATCGGTAATCTGCATAGGTTGAGATTAGATTTCCAAGGCATGGATAGCCCAGGAAGGAGGAGATGGCTGCAGCTGCATTCTACAATGCAAAACAAATTCAGCTAATTTGGCCACATTTGTTTTGCAGGAAAAGCTGAGCAGTTGAGATATCATCAAAATTTTATTTTACATCTACTTTAATTCATAACAAATAACAATAATATTAAAATACATGCAAATATTTTATTTTACACTTATTTTACTTCAAACCATTCAGCACCAAAATAATTATATACATTAGACGGAATGGCATTAGGTTAGGAAGTCATAGTTAACTAGAGAACCATCAAATTCACAGGAATTGCATTTGTAAGCTAGGTGTTTGTTTCTCTTTTCTTTAATATGTTCAGTGGTAGCCTTTATATATATATATATATATATATATATATTTCCCCCCACTACACGCGTGGATGTAGAGTTGCCTGGATGTAGAGTTGCCCTCATAGAAATCCTACTCTCCTATAGAAGCCTATGAAAGCTTCAAGGAATCAATACCTTGATATTAAAACTTTAACATATACCAAGAATATATACCATTAATACAAAGAAAGGTTAAAATGAACAAGCAAATATCGAGAACCGTAGGGATGTTAATACTACCTTCCGTGCAAGCTTCTCCAACTTCTCCTTCTCAATTTTCTGCATCAGCATGGCAGCTAATTAGTGAAACTTGTGATCTAAAAATGCAAATAAATCTAGCCTACAAGTTTCTATCAAGTTCAAGTTCACAAACTAACTAAATTAAATGGATTTAATAATATTCAAATAATTTCCGTTAAATAAAAGGAGAGACAAGTGACTCATTACAATATAAAAGGAAAATAAAAAAAAAGAATTGGAAATAAAGAAAACCAGTAAATTATTCAGCCTGAGGTTTACCTGAGTTAGAAATGACATGTTCACTAAAGATCCAAACTTTTTTTCTCTTTTTTTTCTCATCCCATACGTCTGCTATTCTCACTTTTTGCATTTTTATAATTGAGTTAAATAATGATTGTAGATATATAGAAAATACAAAATTAAATCAAATTTTAATAAGAAGCTAATCTAAATTAATAGAACTTTTAATAAATTTTTTGGATAGTTCTTACCCAAGAAAATAATTCATTTAGATTTATATTTTATCCATCAACCAATCCATTTTAAATGTTGTGTTTACCAAGAAGAATAAACAATAATACACACACCTATACCGCACACAAAACCTTTTCTATCTTCTTGTCCTAGTGAATTTCCAAGCAGAATGTACTGACACATGTTGCCCCGTTTTTCCTCTTGTCATCTCCACAATGTCCATGCTACTTATTAACTAATTTCTCTCTATACAAAATAGTTTTGAATTACTCCAGGTTTACCATGCTTTAACCTTTAAGTTATTCTATACTCAGTTCGCAAAAACTAAACATGACTGCACCGCATTCTTGTTCCACTTTGACTTACGTGATTTCCTTCTAAGTTAGAGTAACATAGCAGGAGAGATAATGAAAGACACAAGTGCTTAGAAGGAGAGAGAATGCTGCCACCAGTTAAAAAAAGAGAAGACAGAGGAGGAATCTACGAATAATTCTTATTTTCCACAAATGATGGCAATAACGTCCTCAATACCTAATTTATAGAAACAGGAATTGCAATTCAAATTTAAAGCAAATGATATCTTCAAATTGAAATATAATATTATCATATGTTCAAAATTTAAAACTAAGATAATCCAAAAGAATAATTTTTTTCATAAATTAAATCAAATAACTCTAATAAATTCATGAAAAAGTTTGGTTCAATTAGAACTTAGTCTAGCCATGATTCTTGAGTTAGGTCTACGAGTTGCAAAAACTCCCTTAGGGGGCCAAAAAAAACTTGCCTGCAAAGAGTCAGAATTATGATACTCTTCAAGTAAATACTGTCATCTTTATCAAATCTTAATTTGTGATCCAAAAGCTTTCAACAGGATATTTATTGTCCAACAAATAAATATTTATGTACTCCAGAGTCACATGTAGTAATTTCATCAATAATTATTTGTTCAACATTGTTAGTCTGTGTAGTGACAATAAATGAAAGTATCAGGGCAATAACATTATTTACCGAAGTAGAAGCTACACTCATAGAAAGATTTTTTTTAGGTTCAAAATATATGGAAAGTGATTTGTAAGGTATTAGATCTTCAATGTCGAACATAAGGCCAAAATAAAATTCCTGAGGTCAGTTGAGAATTTTATATAGAGGCTAAATCTTGTGTGGAGCCTTTTAAATGTAAATGGAGGAAGGTATTTTGGTATGAATTCTAACATGTACAAAATCACCTTCATTAAATTCCTACTTTCTTCTATAAATATCTGATATAGTATTATGCTTCTCATTTTGCGTAGCAATTTGTAATTTTATGCTGGTATGATGCATATGCTCAATAAAAGATGCATAGACTGAAAATAAGTTGGATGTTGGGAAAATGACATAAGATCTAAAGGCCTTCTAAGGATGCATACCATAACCAACTTCAAAAAGATATTTCTTGGTAGTATAATGCATAAACATGTAAGATAACTCTGCAATAAAAAGCATTTAATCACATGTGCCTAAACAATCATCAATCAGACATCTTAGTAGATTACCAAAACTCATGTTGACCACTTTTGTTTGGTCATCAATTTGTGGCTAAAAAGCAGAATAAAAGTTTGTAGTACAAACAACTTACATAAAGTCCTCTAGAAGTGGCCAACAAAAAAATATATGTTACGATTAAAACAATAAAATTAGGAAATCCAAACAATATAACAATATTTTTGAAGAATATCCTTTCTACACATGAGGCGTCAATAGTTTAGAGCCTTGTTTAAAACTGCACAATATGAGAGCTTTCCTTGAGGCCCACCTCAAGGCAATTCTAATAAAAAATGTCTTGAAGCTTACACCTTGAGCTTCTTTAATGAGGCGTGCAACTCAATTTGGCTGAGGTTCGCCTCAAGGTACGTCTCACTTCATTGGCATGAGGCTTACGGCTCATCCTATTTATACATAATTTTTATTAAAACTTATCTAAATCTTAAACCAAAGCCCCAAAAAAATCACACCTTCATGCACCCCCAAGCCGCAGTAGCTTCCTCTCGACTACCTTGACCTCCAACCCGTCGCCTCCGCCACAACCACCACTGTCATAACTGTCGTTGGGTTTACTTGAAATAGCACACCACCACCTCCTCTAAAAGTTTTCGAGTATTACTCTCATGTTTATGTTGATGGCAAATATTTATAAAAAAAGAAGATAACTCAAATAAATGAAGAAGAAGCAGATTGCAAGACGTTGGAATCCACATGATGAGACAGGGAAGTGACCAAAGTATTATGATGACGACTCAAATAAGGACCCCTCAGTTATGATATTGCAGATGTTTTTTGAGTTATTGCCAATTATTTTACATTTCTTTAGGAAATAAATGTTGATTTGTAGGGAATTGAAAAAAAAGGAATTTAAAGCCGAACTTGAAGTTATATGATGTTTTTATGCACTTCTTATATTTCATGTTATTTTTCCCATGTAATATTTGGATGTAAATTCTATTTCACGCAATTTATCACTTATTACTTTATATTTTGTATAATTTTTGTTTCATATGTATGCCAATTTATTACTTCATAACTCAATAGAAAATTAATGTCTTTCTTTAACATATTATTTGGGCATTGTATAAAATTCATTTTTAGCATTTATTTTCAATTTATGAAATTTAAAGATTTTGAGGCTTATGCCTCAAAGCGCATTGAGGCTTACGCTTCGTTTCATAAAACGAAAAATGCCTTAATGCCCAATTGCATAATTTTAAACCTTGGTTAAGAGCAAGCAATGAAAAAAGCCATCTAAAAAAAATCTATAAATCATAATGAACACAGAATCAGGCAACAAGTTCTAGGAAAACCTAGAATAAATTCATACTCAAATAAGTTTATGGAGCATTTGGGATGAGTAAAAGAGTATAAAGTCCAAAAGGCTGTCTAATAGCCTAGTGTAAAATTGTGAAACAACACGATTGTTATCATGCTGTATTGAAGGTCAATAGAAATGTTATGAAACTAATGTGAATGTCTTATCTCACACAAGGTGTTCAATTAATCCACCAACCTATACTTCCCAAATAAAAAAATTAAAAAAAAAAAAACGAAGTGTATAAGGTACATAATAAAAAACCTTAAACAGAAGCTCATTATCAATTTAAATTCAAATTAAGTGATTGTAAATAGTGTCCTTAATAGAATTAAACATGAAATGAAAATGCTACAAGAAACTCAATCATTCTTCAATATATCAAATCAAGCTACCTTAAGAAAAATAACATCAACGGAGAATGCATGTGGCTCAAGGTATTTATTAACATGTTATTTGCATCTTAACCATAAAGGTGAACTATTAAAGATATTTAACCAAGTTTGCATGCCCAAAAATTCAATCTTTCTTTGTTACAAATATTTTATTGACTTGTGGTCTAAATGTAACACACTCTCAGGATAATAGATAGTATCTACAATGTCTAAGGGCTTGTACAAAAGCATGAAATTCATGATCATACGTCATGTATTTTTGCTTTACAAAAATCAATTTTACTTGCGTATGCCACTGGACAAGCTTCTTGGTATTGAACATTGCAAACAAGAGCACTAGAAATATCACAAGATAGTTTACAAAAGGCTTTGAAAAGTAAGCTTAAAAACTCAAGTTGCAACCATCACTTCTTTGATGGTGCAAAGGCTTTTTGTTTAGGTGTCCAATGAAATTTGATATATTTACGTATATCATTCAATGAAGCCATAAAGATGCTAAACCTCTTAATGAATCTACACTAGAAAGAGGCTAAATCATGAAATTAACAACATTAATTATTGACTTAGCCTGAGACAAATCTGCAATCACCTTACCTTACCTTAATGAGATATACAGAAATAACTAAGAGATCATTAAACTCAATAAAGTAATACTGGATTGCATGATGAATACTTATTTAAATCAATAAAGAACCTTTAACACAAACTATAGCCAAAACTATGCGCAATAGATGGAATAATACAATCAATAGTGGTATATTATGCCCTTGAGAAATTATATAACAATGAGGTAAGACTCATTGACGCCCAACCATTCTAATGGTGGCAATAATTAAACTGTAGTTTATTGGCACTTCTTTTTCAATTTTACTCACATTTTAATTGATACTACAATAACAACAACATCAAGCCTATATCCCACTACGTGGGGCTAGCTACATGAATCATTTTTCTCTATTGTGTGCTATTAAGAATTAAATTATCATTTAAATCTAATAAAAAAATCATTTATAATATTCTCAAACCAAGTCTTTTTAGATCTACATCTACCTTTCTTAATATAGGTCATATCTAATACATCTACTCTCCTAACCGGGTCATCAGAAGGCCAATGTTTTATGTGACCAAACCATCTAAGATGACTCTTCTAATCTTCTCTACCATTGGAACTACTCCAACCTTTTCACATATATACTCATTTCACATTCAATCTCTAAGTGTAAAACCACTCATTCACCTGAGCATCCTCATCTCTGCAACACTTAACTTAATTTTATGCTTCTTTTTTAGTGGCCAACATTCTGATCCATAAAGCACTATAGGTCTCACCAGCATCTCTTAGAATTTTCCTCTAAGTTTGAGGGGTACTTTTCTATCACACAACAAACCCGAGTACTTTTCTATCACACAACAAACCCGATGCATTCCTCCACTTCAACCATCCAACTTGAATAATAAATAAAATTCTCATCTATTTCATCCTCATTTTGAACAATAGACCCGATATATCTAAAATATGCACACTTTAAATAACTTGATCACCCAATGTCACAATCACACCACTAAATCTATTTATGCTAAAACACTCTATGTATTTAATTTTAGATCTACTCAAATAAAAAACTTTAGAATCTAAGATTTCCCTCTATAATTCAAATTTTCTTTCAACTCTCTCTAGTCTTATCAACACAAAGAATATCATCAGCAAAAGGCATATACCAAGTTACATCCTCTTGCAAATGTCTAGTAAGAATATCCATGACTTAAAGCAAAAAAGATATGGACTTAAAGCTGATCTTTGATGTAATCCAACTTAAATAGAAAAATATTTGGTCAAACCACCAGTGTTTGAACACAAGTAATAGCTCTTATATAAATATCCTTAATAACTTGAATATAAACATTATTAACTCTTTTTTTTTCTAGAACTCTCCAAAGCTCTTCTTTTGAAAGTTTATCATACATTTTCTCTAAATTAATAAATATCATATAAAGATCCTCCTTACTCTCTCTATACTTCTCCATCAAACCTCTCAACAAATTTATAGCTTTCATAGTAGACCTACCTGACATGAATCCAAACTAATTTTGAGAAATATTAGTATCACGTCGTAACCTATGCTTAATTACTATCTCACATAATTTTAATGCATAACATATTAACTGAATTCCTCTATAATTCACAAACTCTTGTGCATCACCATTATTCTTAAAAATAGGAACTAATGCACTCATTCTCCGCTCATCTAGCATCTTTTTTAGTCTTCAAAATAATATTAAGAAGTTTAGTGAGTAAAGAGATTCATTAATCTCTTAAGCATTTTTACACCTCTATTGCAACATTAACAGGTCGTCAAGTCCCACTAATATAATTCACGAAGTCTTGTGCATCACATTTATTCATAAAAATATGAACCAATACACTCCACTCTTCTAGCATCCTTTTAATCTTCAAAATAATATTAAAAAGTTTAGTAAGTCAAAAAACTCCTTAATCTCCTAAGAATTTTCACACCTGTATTGGAACATTATCAGGTACTACTACTTTTTTACACTTCATTTTTCTTTAAAGTCTCTCCAATTTTGATTTTAATAAGACGATGAAACATAAAAATCTTTATTTTCATTAATGGTGCTAAGGTCACTAAAATCAATCATATTCACACAATCTCATTGAAAATCCTATCGAAATATCTAATCGACCTACGTTGAATATCCTCTTTTTTTAAAAAAATATATTTTTTTATCATCATCATTAATGTATTTCACTTGAACTAAATCATTACTTCTCATATCTATTTGCTTGACTAACTTATATTTAAATCTTTCACCCTCATTAATATCTAATTTATTAAATAAATCAATAAAAACTATTTTTTTGTGTAACATATTGCTTTCTTAGTCTCTACAGTCCCCTATATATATTTTCCAAATTTTCAAGCTTTTACATCTAAACTAATTTTTATAGGAAAGCTTTTTAATTTTAATCTTTCTTGCACTTTTTGATTCCACCACTAATTATTTTTATTATTAAGATTTTTTTTTTCCTTTTTGATTCTCTATGCACATACTTTGCAACATTCTTAATATCACTAGTTGCTTTTTTTTTCTCACATAACATCAGCTTCCTCATGAATCAAACAAAATATTAAAATCTTAAAACTTATTCTTAAAATTATTTTTATTAGAGTTTTTTTTAATGTCTCTATTTAATCCTAAGACAATTTTTTTAGTTTATCATTAATATTTCACCCTTCATCTTAAAATCAAAAACTAATAAATGATGTTGAATACATAAACTTTTACTCAGAATGATTTTACAATCTTTGGAATCTAAAATATCTATTTTTCTTATAAGAAAATAATTAATCTAAGTTTTACTATATTCATTCTTATAAGTGATGAGATGCTTCTATATTTTCTTAAATAAGGTATTCATAATAACAAAATCATAAGCTAGAGCAAATCCTAGCACCTTCATTAGTCACACCAAACCCATCTCCATCATGAATACTTTTAAAATTTTCTACCACTCTACCAACATGTCTATTTAAATCTCCACCAATAAAAACTCTTCCAACAAGAGATATACTTTACATCATTTTTTCTAAATCATTTAAATTTATAATTTTAAAGGCATATCCAAACATACTTGAGGAGTATAAGCATTTTTATTATTAATGATCTTAGCATCAACAATAATTTTTAAAGCTATATTTTCAACTTCAATTATATTAATTTATACAGTACTATCCTTGAACTCATATTATAATCACACATACACCATTTCAAGTATGACTCTTATCTGAATACTATAGTTTTAAACATGAACTATCAATCTTCTTAGTCTTTTTCTCCAACTCATTTAGTTTTTTGAATATATAGAATATTTATCTTCCAATAAATAATAATATCTATTAATTTCATTAATTTGTCTGTAAAAGAACTTATATCCGAAGTTTTTATCCTAATTCGAGTTTCATAGACTAACTTTTTCGCCCACATCCATCCATGATATGAGAAACTTTGCTTATTTAACACTATACCCGAGTGTCAGTGCAACCTTTTCGTTATATTGAGGTCATACAGCGCATCGCATACAGGAAACGCTCTAGCATTAACGCAATGTATTAAAATATTTATGTCATGATTGTTCAACAAATTGTATTCTAGTTGTCGACTACCCGATGAAGCCCTTTATTTTTCTCATCTAAAACTTTCACATTTTAATTGGTAAAGAAAATAAATATTTTTCCAACAAGTTTTAATGATCCCAATCTGATATAAGGGGTCCTTAGAGTTTAAAGTACAAATTTAGGCTCAATCATAAAGATCAACATCCGCATCACAAGCTAAGAGCGACCTAACACAATGTTAGCAACAATAATGGGTACCATGTCGTGCCATATATTATTAGAATAATGCCTTAAATTGAATTGATAGAAAACATATTTTAGTGACAACCAGATATATAATCAACTCATCCAATGTTGAAAGGATTTGGATGTGGTTCAACCTTGAGAGTGTACTAGTCAAAGTGGCATATGTTTATAGTACTTTCATCTTATATAAATAGATCATATCTCTTAAAACGCAAATCATTATTTTTTTATTGTGAGACCATGAACCATCTTGGTTAGGCACTAGCTACTGCACGAATAATAATAATCTATGTTTCAATTAAAAGTGTAGTCATTTTTAACCCAAACGTACAACATGTTACTTCACCGCTTCAAGTGTTTTAGATTGTGCATTAACCTGATGTGCCAACATATCTAACTTCTGTTTTAGTTGTTTACAAGCAAGTAACATGATGTAAAGGGAATCTTTGTTAACGAAATGGTTTAACACTGCATAATGTGATTAATGAATTTAATTTATGCCAACCATAATAAGGATTTTCTAGAATTCAATATTATGATGATAGCACAACAATCATGCAATTTGTTCCTCAAATTAGAAAGGTGGGCAGTGCCCTAAATTCAGAGAAAGTTGTAAGCTTTTAATTAAAAGGATTTCATAACATTCATAACATGCACAAATTTTACAACGAGCAATATTTAGGGCAACGGACAATTTTAGAGTTCGGTGAATATAATTAATTAGATGTATTGAGTTGATGTAAGATAGATAATAAGCTAAGCCATTCCATTTTCTAGCATGAGTAATAGGCAAACTTGAGTATGTGTTGCATAGAATCAAAATTTTTGAGTTGAATAAAGATTGAATTTCACCTCACCTCCACGAACAAGTAGTACTTTAAAACACGATTTCGATTAAGATAGTGCATGCTTCACACATGAATACTGAGGATTACACAACTACAATGTACTACGAGTGCAACAAGTTTGCATGCATGTTTGAAACAACTGATAAGTAAGTACGTGCAGGGATTTACAGAAGTATTCTATAGCACGACAAGCGGATGATTGCAGTAATCAACGATATTGGATGGCAAGAGATGTGAGTTGCAGCTCTAATACCAAATCATGGTAAAGCAATGTAGAAGAAGAGGAAAGGAAAGGCTCTGAAGTAAAGAGAAGGATGCCGTCATTTAGAGAGAGGGAGAAAGAAGAAATCTTAAAATTATTTCTAAAATTTCTACTTTTAAATAGAAATTGGGAATTGAAAATAGTGGATGATCAACATTAAATTTCAACTGTTTAAGAAGGTTTATAAATGTTAAAAGATGTCTGAGAATAAGATATCATATCCTTCTAAGAGAATAATACTCTCAAAGGATATGCTTTGGTGATCTACTATCATATACTGCAACATCACTTTTCTACATAATCTATGATCAGTAAATCAAGAAGGCTCGAGGAAAATATAAAGACAATAGCTCTTCTTTCTTTGTTCTTCTCCTGTGGAATGATAGCGAAAGGAATAATACCAGGGCAGTCAAAAACAAAGTCGATAGGCATTTGATCGCTGTTGTTTCTAGCATATTTGGCTGCAAAGAGATTTTTTTCTCTACTGTAATCTTAGAAAGGATGTTCAATAAAATCCAAAGAAATGTACCTCCAACCATTGACCTCGCAGGATTTTATATTCAGAACCTATGTAAGAATCAGAACTTAAGCACCAATCCTTAGACTAGTGTAAGAAAATAAAAAAATCCTAACATCTTCCGTCGATCTTTTGAGGTATTAAGTAGCTAACAGTGACATGGTAAGCATAAAATATAAAAAAGAAAACAATGATTTATAAATAATACAGAATAAGCATATCATAATGCGAAATGAACCTTGATGTACACGTTCTCCGCCGCTTTCTCCTCTTCGCTAAGGATCTTCCCGCTGGAAGAGAGTCTGCGCACAAGGTACCTCGATGTGATCCTCACAGCCATAGAAAAGGCTCCCGAGCTCTAGGAGACCGGAGCTACCGGAAAATCAAACCCTAATTTTACGATGCTACCCGACTTTACCCTCAGTACTACTGAATCCAATAATGCCGTAAAAACTAAAAACACGGGAACCCGAGATCCAGATCGAATAAAAAAATCCAGAGAAACGAGAGAGAAGCGTAAGAATTTTGGAATGACATGTGAGCCATTTTATTATGCCATTTGGTTGGGTGAAAAAATATGTATCTTATACAAAATTTAAAATAAAAGAAATATTTTAGAACTATTTGGATCATTAAATATAAGTTTTATTAGGTCCGGTGTCCTGACATAGCTCTACATTCGGACGTCAGTAAAATGTTGCTACATGCTCTTACTCTTTACCGCAGCCCGACGACCCTACCCGAACCGAACCCGGGATTGCTATGTAGTGGCTGATTTGTGCAGACCGTGTATTGATAGGTATTGCTCGATATTGCTCGGCAATAACGAGAAATATCATTATGTCAAGACAAATACATAGCAATACCGAGCAATACAGAGCAATACGAGCAATACCGAGCAATACCCCGGTTTTGCTAGGTATTGCTCGGTATTGCTAAGTATTGGTCTTGACAGAGCGGTATTTCTCATTATTGGCTGATTTGTGCAGACCGGGTATTGATAGGTATTGCTCGACAATAACGAAAAATATCATTCTGTCAAGACAAATACCTAGCAATACCGAACAATACATCGGTTTTGCTAGGTTTTGCTCGGTATTGCTAAGTATTGGTCTTAACAGAGCAGTATTTCTCATTATTGTCAAGCAATACCTAGCAATATGCGAACATAGCAATACCGGGTTCCGGTCCGAGTCGGGTCGTCGGAGAGCGCGGTAAAGAGTAAGAGCACGTGGTGACATGTTATTTGCTTCCGGATGTAGAGCTACGTCCGGTTTCCAGACCTAATAATTGTTCCATTGAAAAGGATATGCATAAATTATTATTATTATTATTTTTTTATAAAACTGAACGCTTGCAAGAAAAGGTTTTTTTAATTAAAATGAATGCTTGCAAGAAAAGCTGTGACTGGGGTGACCGATGGCTAGTGGTAGGCAGTAATGGGGCGGTTGGCAATCATGTGATTGGCGGAGGTAGGATCGTTGGTTGGGTGCCACCAGTGGACGGTGGCGGCAGGGTGTAGGTAGTGGGCATGAGATTATGGTTGTCGTCGGTGGTAAATGAATTGCTTAAGCAGTGTAAAAAGTTCTCGATCAAATTGGTTGAGAACGTAAAATGAGATATACAGTATTTATTTTACTTTATTTTGGATTTGTTTTTCATCCAACCAAACGTTAAAAGTAATAAAATAATGCATTCATTTACTTTGCATTTACTTTTCTTCCACCCAACCAGCTTCTATAAGAATAAATTAAGAGAGTGTTTGGGTCAATTTTTTCTCTATTTTGTTTTTCTTTTCTTTTATAAAAACTTTTGGGATAAGAATCAATTTCTTACAAATAAATTTTTCAAATTTGATAAATCTATCATCTTATTTTTTGAAACAAAAAGCTATAATATTTGTAATAACATCTCTATAATTATTTTTACAGATAGCTGATTCTAATAGCCTTTGAGGGCATATTTATAGACATAGGATATGATTAGAAATATATAATGAGTTTTATCATAAAATAAAATGAAATAATAATTAAACTAAGTATAGCTACTTGTGTAATGTATAATTATTTTTACAGATAACTTTTGAGCAACTTTGATTTTAAGTCTAAGATATTAATTAGTTGAATTCTAATTCAAGATATTGAGATAATTTAGTCTTCATTTTGGACAATTTTTTTATTGTTTCTTAAAACAGAATTTTAGTACAACTTTTAATTTTTAACTAAAACTCTATTTTAAGAAGCAATAAAAAAGCTGTCCCAAACGAAGCTTTAATGATCTGACTTGGAAAAATGTAGGTCTACATCGGTTATTGTTTATCATGACTTATTAAAAGCCTAGAAGAATATAAAAATGACTCAAACATGCCCGATTTGGTTTGGCTAAGCTAGATGTGTTGGATTTGTAAGATGCTTATATACTAGATAAGTGGTTGGCACATCAACAATCAATGCCTATAAGTAGATAACTCGAGGTCAATTTTGAAGTTTTTCATTACTTTTATTTTAGCATCTACTCTTTGAATTTCAATTATTTTTAAAAACTCATATATTTATGTAGGATGGATTAAAATGATCATTTTTCCAACATTGTTGTATACAACATGGTAAGAAAGATATTCATTGAGTGTGTGATGGATAAGGTTGTGTTGGTTGAGGATATATATATTCACGAGCATCTTCTGTAACAACCCAAAATTTTAACTATCAAGGAATTATCTGCTTAGGCCTAATGGTCTTATGATTTTGTACTATTGGTGAAACTTCCAAGGAGGTCACCCATCCTAGGATTGTTCTCACATAAACAAGCTTAACTTTGGAGTTTCTTAGTAAAATTTTAGTTGTTACACTATAAGGTGCCTCGATATTTAATAATTTAGCTTATTTTTACTTAAGAGGTTTTACAATATCCACCACTTAAGTAACTGATATCATCGTAAGTATCTTTAACTCCGAATTATTTATTTAGTAGATAGGATTGTAGAGGTGAACCCTGCAAGTTCAAGTAGGAGCTCCTACCATATAGTAATTTGTCTCATACATGATTCAAGATGTGACCTCCATGGCATAGCATTTTATCTTGTATGTCACTTAGTTCCCATCTTTTGGCTGGTGTAATATTCTAATACCATTTTGTAACAATCCAAATTCTTAAATATCAATGTATTGTCCACTTTGGCCTAATGGCCTTACGATTTTGTCACATTAGTATAACTTCCTAGGAGGTCACCCATCTCAAGATTGTTCTCGCATGAGCACTCTTAATTTTGGAGTTTCTTAATAAAACTTCAACCATTACACAAAAGGTGTCTCAATGTTTAAGAGTTTAACTTCTTTTTACTTAAGGTTCATACCTTCATTGAAGAAAATAAATTTAAAACCAGCAATGTAGAAAGATGGCCAAGGGCAAGGTCTTCCACCAAATTAGGATACTAATATGTGAATCTCCATGTCACATGTGGTATTTGTTAGATAGTTTTTTTTTGGAGATGGGAGCATCATTGTGGGAATAAGCTCTTTAGTAGTTATTATAAAAGATCTATTGAGTGTTATTTTAGCGATAGAGATTAGGATTGAAACTATAATGTTTATCATCATAACTTTAAGTTTCTATTAATCCATTTTATTCTTTATTTGATTAGCAATTATAGTTTTAGAATATTTAATGGAGCTTTAAGTAATAAGAATGGGGAATGAGAAGTGAAAATGTAAGTTGAAAATTTTGCTCAACTAGCGTTAGAATTGATAGTGCCGTAATATTGAGCTCTCAAAAAATGAAAAAAAAAAAAAAAGTGTTTTGGGTGTGTGTTGCAGTGCTAGGAAGAATCGTTGCAACGTTGAGTCTCATATGATGTTATTTTAGAAGGATTTTAAAGATTCTCTGGGAGTGCAGAGGCTCTAGATAAAATTAGTAGTTTTTAAATAAAGTATCTAAAACCATTTGGCACAATTTATTTTCACCCCGGCCTAAAGGGAGGAGATAATAGAAAGAGAGAGAGAGAGAGAGAGAGAGAGAGAGAGAGAGAGAGGGAGAGAGAGAGAGAGATTGGAGGCTAAAACTCAGGTTTCGTATGTTGGGCCAACTAAAGATATTATAGAATACGAGATAAACTTTTGCACCCCCATCCCTGATTTCAATTTGTGTTGTTTCATAAAAGGTTATAGAATGAAACGTGCTTTTCTCATATTATAAAATTTTCACCGCATAAGTTTTTATACATTGTTTCATGCTTTGCTTTAAATATGTTAATTATAAGAAATCGAATTTTCACTGGTTTATTTTTCCTACATAAATTTCTATATATGATCCAACTGAGATTTTTCTGGCAATTACAGTAATTATATAAAAGTCTTAAAATGTTCATATGAATATTCTTTTGAAGTTAAAATTTGATCAAGAAAATTTTTGTATGTTTCATATTTTATTTTACAAGTAATTTGTGCATTCTACAAGTATTGCATTGAAAAGTACAATTCAGTTAATATTGCCATTTTATTTTCACTGTTTATGGGAAGACATTTGAGAAGTTCTAATATGTGAAAAAGTGCACTCTAAGATGTGTGACAATGGACCTAAATGTTTTATTTGTTCCTCATCTGCCTAGTAAAAATATGGGAGGAATTCTAGCCCCATTTGTTGAAAGCAGGTGTGGGAGATTATGTAACATTGTATGTACATTCTAACCCCATCTACCTAGTGCATACGTGGGAGGGATTCTAACTACACTTACTATAGGCAGGTGTGGGAGGTAAAATGGGTAGCATAAGTTGAAGTAAAGTTATAAGCAAATATCATGACATATGCATTATAATCATTGCATTGCATTTGCGTTAATGAAATAAGTTTAAATAATAATCAGAAATGGATATTTAAAATTATGAAACTTTGATTGAACAATGATGATATACAAAAGTTATGTGCAAGTGAGTCTGTGAAAGTAAGTATTTCATAAAGTATTTGAAAACTTCTATTAAAGTCGCTTTACAACTAAGTAAAGCTTCAAGTATGCACTGGAACATTTAAAATGTTATATTTTACTATTTTACTAGTGTTTAATTTATTCTTTATTTCCTTTTATTATATTGTGCGCAATTTCTTCTTTTAATTTAGATAGTTGTGGGTCTCCGAAATGATTCTGCTCATGTGGTTCGAATGCAAAGAGTATGACCACACTATCCCGTAGGCCTTTACAATCGACACAAGCAGGCCAATGGAAGAGCAGATGAAGTTATGCATACGATTAGCCATGGAGGGTAGCGGCTTTCACCTACCAATCTCGATGGATAATAATATGTATAACCCTAAAGTTCACGAGATTTCCCCCATTCGATACATCAGCTCGAATGGGGTTCATTTGATTGTGGGGATCGATTTCCTACGGGCGCAAGCCCCCGTAGTTAATTACATCTTAAGCCTTGACTTAAGAAAACTCTCGATTAAGGGTGTTGCGTTATTCACTTCTTGATTTGGTGCACAGAAAAAGTTCATAAATTCTA